TGAGTGCCTTCCAATCTAAGGGTCTCATTTTCTGGTACTATATCTGACAATATGCTGGTGTGCTTCACCATGTTTCAATATTCAGTAATCTGGTGCTGATAGGGTCCTACTGCTATTCATAAGATTTTTAGTGACTAAATATTTGGAAGTAGTCCATTTCTCTTTTTTCCTATTCTGTGTTCATCTGAAAGCTCATCTGAAACCTGTCCATTGTAGGTGACCCTCCTGGCACTCAAAAGCCCTGTGGCATAGCTCACAAATTCACAGCAACACACGAACTGACAGACGAGTGGTGGAGTTCTAAGTATACATGTGTATAAGTCTTGCAATAAGTTGGTTATATTTATTGTCTAATATAATTTACCTTTTTGATGCTATTGTAAATAGAATTGGTTTTTATATTTTGGAACATACTTCAGTACATTTATTAGTTATCAAGCTTTCAAATGCCCTCCCTCCTCCCAATTTATCTGTTTGGCCCAAGTTTGCTAGTTCTTAGTGAAAGGATTAGTTTGAGTCCTTAATCTACCATTATTGGAATCTGAAACCAGTAGATAACCAGAAATTTGAATCTAATAACATCATTACTATCCCCCCATCAGTTTTTGATACAAAATATTGTTTTGTCATTTATTTCTACTTGCCAGAAAATTTCTATGATAATTTCTCTTTAAAAGATTAATCATTCAGAGGTGATTTTTAAAACATATTTAAAAATGAACTATTATGATTGAATTCTAATTTAATATTAATTGCCTTCAGATAATGTATTTTGTCTTACTCTTGAAATGTGTTGTCTTTCTTTGTGATCCAGTTAGTACACATGGCTACTTTTTAAAAACATTCCCATTTGTATTTGATGATCTTACATTTGCTGTATTTATTGGATGTAGTTTCACTATTAATTTCACTGTCCAAATACTTTATATCCTTAACAATTTTAAAATTTATATGTGCTTTACAATAGTTTCTGTTAGATATTTCCACCAATTGTCTCTCAGTTTTTCATATTGTGGAGGCTTGTGTGTTGTTGTACTGCTGGACGCTCAGCCACTTGTATTTTAAATAACAAATGGGTCACCCATGGCAGACAGGTTTCAGAAGACCTTCCAGACAAAGACAGACTAGGAAGTAGAAACAGACTACTTCTGAAGTTTAGCCACTAAAAACCTTATGAATAGCAGCTGAACACTGTTATATATAGTGCCAGAAGATGAGCCCTGTATGTTGGAAGGCACTCTAAATATAAGGAGAAAAAAGGAGCCTCCTCAAAATAGAGTTGACCACAGTGACATGAATGGAGCAAAGCTTTTGGGACCTTCATTTGCTGATGGGGCACAAGTCAAAATAAGGAGAATCAGCTGTAGACATCTATTAATTATCAGAACATGGACTATACTAAGTTTGAATCTACAAATATTGGAAGTTGTAAAAAATGAATTGAAATGCATGAATACTGATATCCTAGGCTTTGTTGAGCCGGCATGAACTGGTACTGGCCATTTTGAATCAGAAAATCATATGCTAAGTTGAAGAGACATGGACACATTCATCATCCAAAAGAATATTTCAAAATCTATCTTGAGGTATAATGCTATCTGTGATAGGATACTATCTATATGTCTACCAGGAAGACCAGTTAATACCACTATTATTCAGATTTACTTGTCAACCATTAAACCAGTGATAATGAAATGGCACTGTAGAAAAAGCACTGGACTATTAACTATAAAGTCTGTTGTTCAAACACACCAGCTGCTCCTTTGATACCTTATATAGGGTTGCTATGAGTCAGACCAACTTCTTCAGTCTGAAATTGAACAAACAGGCAGCCAAGATGCATTGATAATTATTGGCAATTGGAATGTGACAGTTGGAAAACAAAAGGAAAGCTGAGAAGTTGAAAAATATGGCTTTGTTTATAGAAATGGTGTGCCGATCACATGAGGGAATTTTGTCAGACCAATGACTTATTAATCGCAAATATATTTTTTAAACAGCATAAGACGTGACTGTACACAAGGACCTCACCAAATGGACTACATCTGTGGGAACTGATGGTGGAAAAGCTTAACATCATCAGCCAAAACAAGGCCAGGGGAAAACTGTGAAACAGACCTTCAATTACTTATATACAAGTTCAGACAGAAGTTGAAGAATAATTTTAAAAGTCCATGAGAGCCAAATATGACTTTGAATTTATTCTGCTTGAATTTAGAGACTATCTCAAGGATAGATCTGATGTATTACACACTAATGATTGAAGACCAGAAGAATTGTAGGATGACATCAAGAACATCATATAGGGAGAAAGCAAAAGGTGATGATAAAGACAGGAATGAAAGAAAATACCAAAATGGATGTCAGAAGAGACTCTGAAATTTTTTCTTGGGTGTACAGAAGCAAAAGTGAATGAACCCTGGTTAGAGGGTAGACACATGTTAGCTCAGTGACAGGGAGGGCAATATACAAGGAGGGAAAGGGCAACACACAAGACAAGGGAGGGTGGTAGATGGACAGTCAAGATAAGGGAAGGCTTAAGGAGGCACGCATGGGCTAAATGGGACAAGAGGTAAATAGTGATTTATACACAACCTTGGAACAACAGTGTTCTGTGAGTAGATACATAGATCAAGATATAGACCGATGGGTAAAGGCGGGGGAGGAAGAATGTTTATATGTTTGACTGTCTTGTGGATATTGGTTTTCCTTGCCTACTATTGTAAAATAGACATTTATGTGTGAAAGAAATGACTATTGGGAATTATGATGACAGAAAGCTTGTAAACCTGCCTTTAGCCTATAACTGATTGGATTGGAATTTGCCCAGGGAACTAGGCTTCCTGTTAAGCTTTTGTACACTATGGCACCTTAGGTGGTATCCTGAGCCCCACCCAGAACCTTCTGAGTTGGGACATTTCCACTTGAAAAGACATGTAGACCAACTCAGAACTGCTGAGAGAACAGCAGATTCTTACTGAAACAAAGACCCGTAGAAAAAAAGTAGACTGTTTGGCTGTTTAAATTCAAGCAATCTGTTTGCTTTGGCAAGAAAAGTCAGCCCATTAGGGAAAATTACCTACTACTAGGACTGAAACTTTGGGCTGTGAACCTTAAGGTCAGCAGTTCGAAACTACCAGCCGCTCTGCGGGAGAAAGATGAGGCTTTCTACTCCCGTAAGGATTTACACCCTCAGAAACCCTGTACAGGGTCGCTATGGGTCGGAACCAACTCGACGGCACTTAACAACAACAACAACAGGACTGAAACTTAAAGGAAACCCATGAGCAGTCTAGTATGCTCACTGGTGACCACCTGGGTCTACTTGTGAGTGGAAGTGGGGGAAATGCAGCAATGAAGCCATGGGCTGAGTTTGACCATGTTCCATAGGCATCTGTTGACCCTGAGACGAGAGAGAGAAAAGGAAGGACTGGCTTCATGGGATAAATATTGGACTGTGAATCACAAGGCTTGAGCCCAACAGCTGTTTTTCAGGAGAAAGATGAGGCTTTCTTCTGTTCCTTAAAAAGATTTAAAGCCTATAGAGGGTTGATATGAGTCAAAACAATTCCACGGTACTTAACAACAAATAGTATATACATATATTTTAATCACCTTTTGCTTTCTCCCTATATAAACACTATTTAGGGTTTAGGAGCCCTGGTGGCAGAATGAGTTTATAGGTTGGGTTCCTAACTGCAAGTTCAGTATTTCAAATCTACCTGTCCTTTTTGGTTGTTTACTTTTTCTTATTGGTTCACAGGACTTCTTAATAATTCAGGATACTGATTCTTTTGAGGGACAAATGCCAGGGCCACAAACTCCAAGTGAACAGATGGGATCCGTGATCCGCAAGTAATCCCAGTGCAGGGGCTAGGCCAGAGCAGCCTGTCCACACAGGAACCCATGAAAGCTTCAGACTGCTGTGGATCTGAGCACCCTCTCTCACCTTCCACTCTGGCCTTGTGCACTTTTCTACCTATCCAGACTCCATTTTGGAGAGGAATGAAGAAGAAGTAGAAGTCAAGAAGACTGAGTTTTTAAGAAAAAGAAACCAAATCACCTTACAATGAAGGAGACATTTAAATCAAAAGAAAGTATCATAATGTAAATGGGCAAGTTTAACAACCCTCACTTCCCTTTTGTCCAGCAGGGTGGAGGCTCATGAAAAAGATGACATTAATAACAGAACACAGTTCATTTTTTTTTTTTTTTTTACATTTGAGTGTAGAGAGTAAACTACAGTCTTTTTACAGTTACATTGTTGTTGTTAAGTGCCATCGAGTAGGTTTCAACCGATAGCAACCCTGTATAGGGTTTTCTCCGAGTGACTAGTGAGCTTGAGCTGCTGACGTTGCAGTTCAAACCAGCTTTGCATTGTATGATCTTTAGACCCATTTTAAGAACATACAAGTAGAAATTTATATCATACATGTCTAAGTATTAACACGTCTGAACTTATTTAGTAAGGGATATCTGAAAGTAAGAATTCATGCTGAACAGGGGAAGGGATGGAGGCAACATCAACAAAGAAATGTTCCTAGTAGTTATTAAAACTGCACAACCTGACCTTACCGTTCTGAATACCCGCTTTCTCGGGCAAACCTCTGAAAAGCACCCATGGGATCAGAGCCTGTGCTTAAGATGAAGATCAGAGGAGTATTGAAGGACATGTCTTGATACAGAGTAGCCAAGTCCACTGGTGGTGTCTCTATAAACTTTTTCCCGAGATTTTCTATTACAAAGTCTGTAAGAGCAAAAACCACCTGAAAGTTGAAAAGATAAACATGGAAACAAAACCATATATTAGATGTGGAGTCTTCATTATTCTGTTCCAATTCTCTCCCCTTAGTACCTCAGCGGGTAGCACTCTGCATTTCTTCTCTCTTGGTTGGGTATATATTTTCCTACTTATGCAATTTTGGGGATTTACAAACTTAATATCTGCTAACAGGTATGGTTCTCAAGACTTCACAGAGCAAGATGAGCTAATGGATGAGAGGAAAGTCCTCCATCATTCCATAGATCTTCAAACCTGCCATTGCCCCATTCTCACCTCCTGTCCAACCCTCTTGCCTTCTCACGGGCTTAACTTTCAGTGCCCTATTGTCTCTTTCTGCATTGTTATTAATCTCTCCTTCTATCCTACTCCAGAACACGCACAGCAAAACATACACAAATTCAACTGTTTCTACATGTATCAGGAGGTCTATTAGCGTAGTGGTTACAAGTTGGGCTGCTAATCTCAAGGTTAGCAGTTCGAAACTATCAGTGGTTTCACAGGAGAAAGATGAGGTTTTCTGTTCCTGTAAAGATTTACAGCCTCAGAAACTCTATACAGGGTTGCTATGAGTTGGAACTGACGCCATGGCACAGAACCACCATGACATTAATTACATTCTCTGAGCAGTCATTTTCACCCCCCTTTTCAGAATTGTTACTCTCCCATTGACATAAACTCACCACCCACTAAGGTTCCTATCTAGTCCTTCAAGTCGCTCTTGACACTTTGATCCCATATTGTTGTTGTTAGGTGCCACCGAGTCAGCTCCAACTCATAGTGGTCCTGTGCACAACAGAGTGAAACACTGCCCTGTTGAGTGCTATCCTTACAACTCTTACTACACCCGAGCCCATTGCTGCTGCCATGGTGTCAATCCATCACGTTGGGGGTCTTCCTCTTTTTCACGGTCACTCCACATAATATCCTTCTCCAGGGACTGGTGTCTCCTAATAATATGTCTGAAATATGAGAGCTGAAGTCATATCATCTGCACTTATAAGAAGTATTTTGGCTGTACTTCTTCCAATACAGATTTGTTTCAAAGTCCATGATATTTTCAATATTCTTTTCTAGCACCAAATGCATCAATTCTTCTATGGTCTTTCTTATTCATTGTCCAGCTTTCACATGCATATGTGGGTACTGGAAAGACTATTCCTTGTGTCAGGCACACCTTACCTTAGTCCTCAAATTGATATCTTTGCTCTTGAACACTTTTTTTTTTATGTTGTTATTCTTTTTTTTTTAAATGTTTTATTGTGAATTATATGATAGTTTACATGGGATAACTTTAGTTTTACATTCATTCCATTATATATCATCTCATTGCCATGGTTCCAGTCCCCTCCATGCATCATCAACCACCCAAAGGGTATATCCCAGAAACCCACCCCCTACACTTCTCCCTCCTCCCCCCAGTTTTCGGCCCACACAGTCCCTTTCCCTTTCTGGGTCCAAAGT